GGGGGGGGCGGAAGGACTCAGCCGGTATAATGTCATAGGGTCTACCCTCCTAAAGCAGTCATTTTCTCTAGGGGAACTGATCTCTGTCATCTGGAGATCAATTGTAACAGTGGGAGATCTCCAGGTCCCACCTGGAGATTGGCAACCCTAGGGGGAAGTCAGCTGCACAGCAGGGGGTTGAAGAGAATGGTTTGATGGCTGCTGGGCCAATTGGCAACAATAGTTTCCCAGGAGCCCCATCGTAAATGCACCAAACAATTCCTCAAGATTTTCCAAAACACTACTCTGTTTTGGGCTCCTGGGGAACTTTGAAGTAGCACCAAAGCTTTAAGATCTCTCCAGCTGTCACCTGGAGACTGGCAACAGCTTGTCTGGAGTGTGGGCAGCATGGCATTGTATCTGTCTGAGGTCCCCCTCTTCCTCCTCCTCCTCAGATCCCACCCTCAGCAGGCTTCATCCCTAAAATATCCTGGAAGTTTCCAACCTGGAGTTGGCAACCCTATGTCCTGGAGTTCGAACCTGGAGTTGGCAACCATCAGCCAACGTTTATCTGCCTGTCTGTCTTTACAACCCCCCCCCACACACACACACACAGCCTCTGCCTAGGGAGCAGCTGACATCATTCTCCTCTCCCAACTGATTCCAACTGCCTTGGGGGGGGGGTGTGAGTTTGAGGTGTGGAATGGAGTGTAGTCCAATCAGCTTCCATATGTAAATGACCTTGGAACACTGGCCGGGACTGCACAAAGCAGCCAATGAACCCAGCCAGTGTCTTCCGAGTGGCAGTTTTTTCAGCCTAACACTAAAGGGGCCAATTTTAGAACTTTGGCACCCACTATTCTTTTATTATAAGGGAGAGATAATACATGTGGTTGTTACATACATCTAACATTTTTTGATTTTCGGAGTCCATTAAATACATTTATTTTCTAACCATTTATATACTCTCGTCCATCTTTTTTTGAAAAATTAAGTTTATCCAATTCTGCTACTTCTAACAATTTCTTTATTATTTCTTCTCTTAGAGGCAATCTTTCTCACTTCCAATATTTGGCTACTAATATTCTAGCCGAAGTCAGAATATGTATCATTTTGTTCAATACCATTTGGGATTATACTCAACAAGCATATTTCTGGAAGTAGTCCTACATCAATGTTCATTATTTCTATAATTAATTTTTTTTAACAATTTGCCAAAATTTGTGTATTTTCCCACACCTCCACCACATGAATCTTCAGAGATAATGCTTGACCCGGTGCCAATGTGATTTCCTGCTGCCACCGATCCCGGTTCCCGATCGTTTACGAAACAGGAAGCCGAACAGACTATAAAGCTCCAACCCCAAACTAATTCACAACGAACATTTAATGCTGAGAAACTTCCAATCTTTATATATATATATTTTAATGCTGAGAAACTTCCAATCTTTATATTATATATATATATATATATATATATATAAAGATCAGGAAAGGGGTGCAAGAAAGGCAGGAGGGAACAGGAGGGAAAAGACCTCGTGCCAAAGGTGAAGCTTTCGGAATGGCCGCTGAGAAAAGGAGTCAGAGCCGGGCGCAAGGGTCTTCGGTACTCACCCAAATAAACATCCTCAACCTCTTTCGTGCTCACCAGGTCGGCCGTCATGTGTGGAGCGTAGTTCCCTAGGTAGACGGACGGAAGAGGCTGAGTCCAAAAGGGTCACGAAATTGGACACAAGCAGGGCTATTTTGGGGCAGGAACGCACAGGAACGGAGTTCCGGCTGGCTCCTGAGTTGGCCACGCCCAGTAGGAACTCATTAGCATAATAGGCCACACCCAACAGCAGAAACTCATTCGGATTGGCTACGTTAGAGGTGTGTGGCCTAACATGCAAAGGAGTTCCTGCTACAAAAAAAGGCCCTGGGTTTTGACAACAGACAAGGTAAACAGAATAAGAAGGGAAAGGTGGGTGTGGCTGGATGAGCACACCTCTGGTAACATGGGGGTGTGGCCTAATGTGCTAATGAGCGGTGCAGTCAGTGGGTGTGGCCTCATATGCTAATGAGTTTTGATGTTGGGTGTGGCCTGTTATGCTAATGAGTTCCTCCTGGGCTTTTTCTACAAAAAGAGCCCTGGACAAGCGCCCGTTTCTAAAAACTAGAGGCCCTGACCTGGACGGTTCAGGCTAGTCCGATCTCATCAGATCTTGGAAGCTAAGCAGGATCAGCCCTGGTGAGTGCTTGGACGGGAGACCACCAAGGAAGCCCAGGGTCGGTACGCAGAGGCAGGCAAGGGCAAATACCCTCTGAACATCTCTTGCCCAGGAAACCCTATGGGGTCACCGTAAATCAGCGAAGACCTGGCAACATTAAAAAGAAGTGCTGGTCCCATCAGGATGAGGGGGAGGCAGAGAGCAAAAGTGCTTCCCGGGTAGGGTTTGGTGAAGCCAAGCAGGTCCGAGTTTGGGCAAGCCCTCGACGGAAGAAAAAGGTAGGTGGGAGTAGAACTTATGTGTGGGGGATGAGTGTTGGACTGGAGGGGCCATTGGCCTGATCCAACATGGCTTCTCTGATGTTCTTATGTCTGGGGCAGTGATGCTCTGTATTCTTGGTGCTTTGGGGGGCACAGTGGGAGGGCTTTTGGGGTTCTGTCCCCGCTGGTGGACCTCCTGAAAGTACCTGCGTTTTGGCCACTGTGTGACACAGAGTGTTGGACTGGATGGGCCATTGGCCTGATCCAACATGGCTTCTCTGATGTTCTTATGTCTGGGGCAGTGATGCTCTGTATTCTTGGTGCTTTGGGGGGCACAGTGGGAGGGCTTTTGGGGTTCTGTCCCCGCTGGTGGACCTCCTGAAAGTACCTGCGTTTTGGCCACTGTGTGACACAGAGTGTTGGACTGGATGGGCCATTGGCCTGATCCAACATGGCTTCTCTGATGTTCTTATGTCTGGGGCAGTGATGCTCTGTATTCTTGGTGCTTTGGGGGGCACAGTGGGAGGGCTTTTGGGGTTCTGTCCCCGCTGGTGGACCTCCTGAAAGTACCTGCGTTTTGGCCACTGTGTGGCACAGAGTGTGGGACTGGATGGGCCACTGGCCGGACCCAACACGGCTTCTCTTATGTCCTTATGTGATTGGCCACCCATGGCAGTGTCTCTTGAGTTGTTCAGACCAGCAGCAAAGTATGACCCGGAAGCCTCCACAAAAGGAAAACAGTGTCGGCTGACTTGCTGTAAACCGCTTTCCTTAACTGGACACACAAAGATGCCTTATATCGGGGGTCCCCAACGGGGTGCCCACCAACACGTCTCCGGGCACCTGCTAAGTGCTTTCAGAAAGTAGGCAGGGACTGGTGGAGCTTTTGCCCAGCAGGCCTTCTGATTGGCTGTGCACAGGAGAAGAAATCCAGTTCAGCAGAGGTTCTGCCTGAGATGTTGAAGCATTAGTATTGGAGTTATGGGTAGCCTCACTCCCTGGCGTTTTGTGGTTAACTGTGCCTCCTACGGCAGACACTTTGTGGTTCCACCCACCATCCTGTCTCAGAATGAGGGTTGCCAGCCTCTGGGTGGGGCTCGGAGACCTCCCGCTTTGACAACTGATCTCCAGCTGACAGAGATCAGCTCCCCTGGAGAAAATGGCTGCCTTGGAGGGTGGACTCTGTGGCCTTGGACCATGCTGAGGCCCCTCCCCTCCCCAAACCCCGCCCTCTCCTGGCTCCTCCCCCAAAGTCTCCAGGTATGTTCCAACCCAGACCTGGCAACCCTGCTCAGAATCCTAAAGGGGCTCAATAAGATTGGGGACCCCTCCCTTGTAACAAGTCACACCACCGGTCCGTCAAGGTCCGTCATATCTCCTCTGACTGGCAGCAGCTCTCCAAGGGCTCCTGTCAAGGTCTTTCCCATCACATACTCCCTGGTCCTTTAAAAGCAGGTGCTCTATCACTGAGCCGCAGACCCTCTTTACAGCCCTCCAGGGTCTCAGGCGGAGGTCTTTCACATCCCCTGCTGCCTGGTCCTTTTTAACTGGAGATGCCAGGGATAGAACCTGGGACCTTCTGCATGCCAAGCGGAGGCTCTTCCACTGAGCCACAGCCCCTTTTTACAGCTCTCCAGGGTCTCAGGCGGAGGTCTTTCACATCCCCTGCTGCCTGGTCCTTTTTAACTGGAGATGCCAGGGATAGAACCTGGGACCTTCTGCATGCCAAGCGGAGGCTCTTCCACTGAGCCACAGCCCCTTTTTACAGCTCTCCAGGGTCTCAGGCGGAGGTCTTTCACATCCCCTGCTGCCTGGTCCTTTTTAACTGGAGATGCCAGGGATAGAACCTGGGACCTTCTGCATGCCAAGCGGAGGCTCTTCCACTGAGCCACAGCCCCTTTTTACAGCTCTCCAGGGTCTCAGGCGGAGGTCTTTCACATCCCCTGCTGCCTGGTCCTTTTTAACTGGAGATGCCAGGGATAGAACCTGGGACCTTCTGCATGCCAAGCGGAGGCTCTTCCACTGAGCCACAGCCCCTTTTTACAGCTCTCCAGGGTCTCAGGCGGAGGTCTTTCACATCCCCTGCTGCCTGGTCCTTTTTAACTGGAGATGCCAGGGATAGAACCTGGGACCTTCTGCATGCCAAGCGGAGGCTCTTCCACTGAGCCACAGCCCCTTTTTACAGCTCTCCAGGGTCTCAGGCGGAGGTCTTTCACATCCCCTGCTGCCTGGTCCTTTTTAACTGGAGATGCCAGGGATAGAACCTGGGACCTTCTGCATGCCAAGCGGAGGCTCTTCCACTGAGCCACAGCCCCTCTTTATAGCTCTCCAGGGTCTCAGATGGAGGTCTTTCCCATCACCTAATGCCTAGTCCTTTTTAACTGGAGATGATGGGGATTGAACCTGGGACCTTCTGCATGCCAAGCGGAGGCTCTACCACTGAGCCACAGCCCAGGTGGAGGTCTTTCACATCACCTACTGCGTAGTCCTTTTAAACTGGAGATGCCGGGGATTGAACTTGGGGCCTTCCGCATGCCAAGCAGGTGCTCTATCGCTGAGCCAGAGTCCCCCCGACCATCAGTGTGGCCACTCTCTCTTCTCGAGCCTGACTCGGGTGTGACCCAGGTTCGAATCCTCGTCTCGCTTCCTCCAGCTTTCCACCTCGAGACCCAGTGGGAGCTCGAAACCCGAGGCCGCGTCCTGGCCTTTTGATTACCTGTCAACAGGGCGGCGGCTTCTCGGTAGGAAGTGTACTTGCTCTTCATGTACAGTACCGTCTGGGCCAGCATCTCCGGCAACTTGTGTCTAGACTTCCGCAGCTTAAAAACAAAATGGGAAGACAGGAAAGGTGAAGAGTCTCTCTCGTTTCCTGTGCAGGAACAAACGCCGACCCTGCAAAGCCTGGCAGTCTCCCTACACAGGCTCCCCCCGGTCTCTGTTGACGCCTCCCTCTTTCAAGCATGATGCATTCTGGGAGTGGAGAGAGGCACTACGGAAGGACCACAGAACTTGCACCTGTGAATGTGCGTATCTTGGATATGCGGCTCCCCAGTCACAAGCTATGGACCTGCCTAGGGTGCGGATTATGTGTATGGAGCCCAAAAGAAACAGAGGGGAAACCTCTGAGAGCCAGTGTGGTGCAGTGGTTAAGAGTGGCAGACTCTAATTCAGAGAGCCGGGTTTGATTCCCTGCTCCTCCTCCACATTGCCAGCTGGGTGACCCTGGGCCAGTCACGGCTCTCTCAGAATTCCCTCGGCCCCATCTTCCTCACAAGGTGCCTGCTGTGGGGGAGAGGAAGGGAAGGCGATTGGAAGCCACTTTGAGACTCCTCAGGGTAGGGGGAAAGCGGGGTATAAAAACCAACTCTTCTTCTCTTGAGAATTCACATTCTTTTAGGAGGATGTGGTCCTCATTTGGTGTAGTGGTTGAGTGCACGGACTCTGATCTGGGAGAACCGGGTTTGATTCCCCACTCCTCCACTTGCACCTGGCTGGATGGCCTTGGGCAAGCCGTAGTAGTAGTAGTAGTAGTAGTAGTAGTAGTAGTAGTAGTAGTAGTAATAATAA